TCCAAGCCTGCACATATCATACTTGAGAAAGATAGTACGGAGCCAAGCAAAATTATATTGTTCATGTTTGGACTGGACATCTTTATGTATCTGTGTTTGTATGTTTTTTATCTACTTTGTATGTTTTGTATCTACTTGTATGAATTGTTTAATTTCTTTGTGTTTTTATTTTGCGACATTTGGGTGTATAGTTTGTATCTCCGTATGTTTGTGATTTCATGTCGTTCAGGATGTTTGGGAATGACAATGTTATGTATCTGCGTTTTTGTATGTTTTAATATTTTTGTATATTATTGTATTTCGTACGTTCATTTTTGTATTATTTGTATATGTTTGTATTGATGTATGCATGTGATATTACATTGTTCAGATTTTGGTTTAACATCTTTCTGTATCTGTGTTTGTATATCTGATTGTATATTTTGTGTGTGTACTACTTTTGGTGTTATTTGCATGTTTTGTGTTACAAACAAGTGTTTTGAACATTTGCAATGTTTGCTGATGTTTGTATTGCATTAAAATATTTTAATGTTTGTATTGCATAAGTTGTTTGTATTTTTGTATTGCATACAATTGTTTGTAATGTATGCAAATGTTTGTATGCTTGTATAATGTTTGTATTAAACCGTTTGAAGTATCGTTTGACCGATTGTCCAATTTGAGATGGATGGATGGATGGACTGATCGAAGAAATAATTAAATAATTGGACGGTTGATTGATTGATTGATTGATTGATTAGTTGGTGGTTGATTGATTGGTTGATTGATTGGTTGGTTGGTTGATTGGTTGGTTGATTGGTTAGTTGACTGGTCAATTGAAGATTTGGACGTTTACAGACTGACTGATTGACAGCTAGATTAATTGATCAAATGGATACTCAAGTGATTATTTGATTGATGGATTGATTAAATAAATGAATGAATGATTAAGATTTTGATTGATAGATTGATAAGTAAGCTGTATAGTATGCACTGCATATGGTTCGGTGTCAAATTAACCGGGTTCAACAGCAAAGAGAGCAACAGATGAAAAAATAAAATGAAAGAACCACCCACCAACCTACTGTGCCTATACTTGATGTTGAAGAAGAAAAATAAACCAGAAGTGACAATGCCGAGTGATGAGAGGATGACGAT